ATATATATATAATATATAATATATATGTATATAAACAACTCAATAATTCTAATGTTAGCAAAAGAATAACTCCTCGATTTGGTCTAGCTACCCTCTTGGCAGGCGACTGTACATGCGTAAAGTACAAGAAGATTCTGTATCAAGGAGCATAAAAAGAGCTCTTCTACATAAAACAGGTATAAGTAAATAGTCACCCTTAAATATGGATACTTGTATGTATAATATACATACGCAGTCTTGTGAAAATTGATGTACTCCAAGTTCTGTCTTTCAAATGAAATTCTCTGAGATGAAGTATGATGGAGTATTTGACGCTTACGCAATCAAATTACATGACTACACACGCGAGCCATGCAGCCATTATCTGTAAATGTGTTCGGGGAATCCTAATCCCTTAGCAATAGAAACTTGATTAAGTCGAAGGAAAATGATATGCAAATTTGCTTTCATGTATATTAAAATTTTACTATGCAAATTACTATAACATAACTTGTCAATCATTAATCTATGAATACTTATAAAAAGTTTGATAGAATTTAACAAAATTTTCAGAAAGAAAGAATATCTACATATGTAGTTAAATCAATATCTAATTATATTGATTATTTTTAAATAAGAACGATCAATATAATTAATTATGAGATACAAAACATTGATAATAAAATCAATATATAATGTACAATTATATTTAAATAACTGTTAAAATTTTTTAGTAATAATTTAACTTTTTATGAAATTTTGTTTACTTGTGCCTAATAACATAAAACAAAACTATTTTTCTCGAAACATTATATGCAAAATATAAAAATATTTAATAGTATTTCTATTTAAAACAAATAAACGTAGAATAGAAAATAAATATAAAATCTCTTATTACATAAAAACTTCGCAAATAAGAATCTGAGATGGAAATGTAATTGTAGTAAATCATTTTGAGAAACGTTGTAGTTCTAGTAAATCAATCATCTGATACGACATTTTATATAAATAAATAAAGCATTTTCTCTCAAGAGAAAAGAAAATATATAATACACACAAATAACAATAGGAATAGAGATATATCTCTCTACTTACGACGTGCAATAATTATATTCCGAGATTTCAGTCATAAATCGAATTTATCGTAAGTAAAATATAGTAATCATATTAATAAAATATAGTAATCATATAGTACTAAATCTATTGCTTCTCTTTTAGTAATGATATTTGTACCACTAACTATATTAGATATGAATAATTATAACAAGGTTACATGAAAAAGTAATGCTCATTTTCATTAATGTAGATTAATTTCAATTCAAGTTGTTCTTCAACTTTTTCTAATTAATGCATACTGGTCATAAATCCGATAATCCGTAAGTTAAAGTCATAAAAAGGATGTAATACATATAAACACAATAATAAAAACAACTTAAAAAACAAAACTATACAGGCAATTTACTTCTATTTAATTTAAAAATAAAACTATTAGGTGTTGGAATTAATTCGTAGCGTTTTACAAGTGATGGGAAGTACTTTCATTAATGTATTTTTTAATGCTCATGTGAAATAAATAACATTCTTTCATTAAAAAACGCTACGAATTAATTCCAACACCTAATATATTAATTCTTATCTTAAATTAAATTAAAAATTTTTCTCATCACATATCTCAGTTAACCCGTTATAACTGTCTTCTCCTGGACTCATCGATTTTCACGAAGCTGCATCAGAAATATCGCGAAATAGATAGGAAAGAGTCGCTTGCTCTATCTGAACAGGGCTTTGAATAACAAGTTGCTTGCTTAGTAAGTGAATGAAAAACCCATACGGCTCATTCTGTGCTGTGAGTGGTGAGAGTGTTTCGCACCTTGCGAGGCGTTCGGTGAATGGGCCCTCAAGGATGCCATCGAGGGTTGCCTCGATGGAGCTCGTACACTCGTTCTCGAGCCGCGTCTCTCCTGAGTGTGCAAAAGTTTGTTCTCTCTCAGCAGCGAGACGTTCATCAGTCGCGCGTTGGGTGTATTAAAGATAGTGCGGTTCTCTCGCCAACGAGCCCTACAATTCCACATCGTGTCACATAGTTAACAGAGCGAGGTAGGTATTTTTTTTCGACTTGTCAATAATTCAATTATTTTCGCATGGCAAAGCTTTTATAATACATGTACAGCAGAGATATATTTATACGTGCGATTCTTGAAATTTTTCAATAGTATTTTAAAATGTTTTTACCTCGTTAGAGACATAAGATCTGTTTTTTTATTGCTGCACTCTGAACCGGTGCAATAAGTTAAAGTGAAATAAAATATATTTGTTTCATTTCAACTTATTGCACTGTGTGTTCTAGTTCAGAAAGTGCCTATTATGTGAGTTATAATAATGCTTTTATTTCAATTTTGAAAATAGACAATTTTTATATATAATTTTATACATAATTTCGTTTTTAAATAATTATAATCTCGTTTTTCACACGAAAGATAAGAAGTTCTGGAAACGTACGGATCATTTCTAAGCAAATATATATATATATGAGCAATACTTTTGTAAAATTGAGATTTTACAAACGCTAAAACATTCTAAGAACTCATTTCTCGTAATCAATAGTATCATAAAATAATACTGCATTATTTCCAATAAAAGCACATATTGCACGATGACATATAACAATATTTTGAGAAACATTAATTATTTAGAATGTTATATGGAAATATTTTATAAATGAACGATTATTTTATCAAACACTCGTCGACATCGCAATTTCTTGAATAAAACAACAGTCATCTGAGCTAAATGCATATCTGTATTCAAATTCTGACAACTTCAATTAAAGTTGTCACCAGAGTACAATTTTAATTCCAGCCTAATTAAACTTAAATTAACATGTTAATTATTTAATATCCAAGAGATTTATTGAAATATGCAAGAGATAGAATAATATGCAAGAGATTTATTGAAATCGAGTTGTTATTATTTAAAGAAATTTGCAAATTTAATCGAAGTCTATGCATGTTTTATTTTAATACAAATTGCACAAATAATAAGGATTAAATTATTTGTAACAATAATATTTAAAAAATGTATAAATAATGAATATAAATTACTTGTAACACCTTAATCAAACTGCTTACTTGCTGAAAAGTCTAAGAACGACGCAAATGATGACGAACATCAGTGCCATGCCAACGAGAACGCCGATCATCGCTGGATCGATGTACTGGAGGCTGGGTGACTCTTTGACCTCAGCTGAAAACAAATTCGTTGGTTTGCACGAGGGACCCCGGAACTAGAAGCTCGTAAATTAAATCCCATATGCCCTAGAGGAAAAGTCAAACGCGCACCGTACTATTGATACGGTAGAAGAGAGAACTCACAAGGAGAAGAATATATTGTCAAGGGATCCAACTGTCAAGATTACAACTGTCCGATTCGATTCTCCTTAAAATATATTGTTAAACAAAAATCCAAGACACGGGTATTATTTATATCGGTCTAATTTGGGATTTAAAGATTTGAGATTTAGAGAAACAAACCCTCAAAGCTTATATTTAATTCTAATCGATTATCAAAGAAATGAATGAGATATATAAAAAAAAATGTTTTATAACAAACTTTTAGGCTAATTCTACAATGTGCTTTTTGTTTTCTGTTTCTTGCTTGTCTCTTGTCTTATTGACCAAAAAGGCAAGAGACAAACAGAGACAAACAGCAAGAAACAAAGAGCATTGTAGAATTAGCCTTAGTTTTTTAAATATATTTTATAATTATCTACATTTTCCAAAAGCCTAATTTTTTTAAACCTTTTGTCCCCACAATTAAGTTTTGAAAAGTTGTTTTATACCTTAAATCTCTCAAATTGAGCTGATATAAAAAAATGCGCGACTTTTAGATTTTGTGTTTAACAATATATTTCGAGAAGAATCGAATCAGTTCCGGACAGTTATAATTAAGTTCCTTGTGAGTACAAAGAATATATATTTATTAAGAACTGTTATTCACCGACTTTATTGATTTAACATTTTTCTATTTTTCTAATAATTTTAAGTAATTTTAATATTATTTTAAAAATATGAATATTATTTGATGATTATTAAAAAGTAGAAACGATGAAAATGTTATTTAGCAAAGAATATGAATTAAATAATCGCAGAATTTCTTTTACTTTAAAATGATAATCATTAACCGCAACATTCCGTCTGTATAAACATACAACGTTCTTAGAATGTTATATAAATATTCTTTTTAATATTTATATAATAGTCTACGATTATCATGTCTTATAGAAATATTTCTTATTTTTATCTTTTCGCACTGAAAAAAAATATAATCAATTTTAATAAATATTTAGTTGAATATTGCCAACTAAATATTTATTAAATATAAAGATATATTTATTTGATACAAGAAATGTTAATTTGATTTAACAATCATTTTTTTATTGAACAAATATTTACTTACTATAAGTAAATGTTTAATTTATATTTTTTTCTCAGTGCGCGTTTTCATAAGTAAGAAAAATTTTCTTGGCATGCGAAAAATATCAAGCAAGTGGGAGAAGTTTCATTAATTCCGTCGATTCCGTCTCTTTCAATTTTCACCAAACCATGTCGAAGTCGTGTTGGCATGACAAGATTTTCATTAAAACTATCATATATCCTCATTTCTTGAGAATTCCTTTCCTTACCTACGCAGATTATTACACCATCCGCGTGCATCATCGGGACTTTCTCGAAGAGGCAGATGCATCGACCATCGCGACATTCCGTTTGGATCACCCGCACCTCGCATTGCTCATGGAAGAAACAGGACTCGTTCACATTCGCCGCTAAAATAATTTTCAGAATTCGTAAATTGTGGAATATAAATGAAAATTCTAAATATGCCGTAAAAAATAGAATTTAGAGAAATACTCTGAAACATAAAACTTGTAAAACTGTCTAGACAACAGACAAAACATTTCTTAAGTTTAATGTATATTCTAAAAATCAATAAATTATTTGATATAATAAACTATTGTATTTACACCAGATAACATATAAGAATTTTTCTGCTAAACGCGTTAAAGATTTTTTCTTTTAATTTTTAATTATTCGTCAATTCATTAACGGAATGGAATTCATTTCTCGTACGTACACTAATCTTGAGCTTCAGCATTATGGTTTACTCGCAACGATAATCGGGTCGGCTTGTTTGATTGTGAGATTTGCACGGTTTACCATGTGATATCATGTACGAAATCGCTATTAATGGATATAGCAACTTAGCCAAGAAGGAAATAGAATTATTCTCGATCAAGATAGCACCAGCCCATTTAACTAGTGCATTCGCATATGGAAATTAATCCCACTGGCATATGCACCGCGCCATGCTGGTTTACTTCTCTTGAGTAAAATTTTTTTGCTAAACATTATTTCATGCACATACTATATATAGTTACAAAAATATTTTAACACAGCATTTTAGAATTAGTTTCTTTCGAATAACTATAATACATGCTGTCGCATTAATAATGTTGACAGACGAAATTATTTCATAATACCGCAGCTTAGAAATTCCATGAAAGAGAAGCCATTTCAATTTTCTCCCTATGAATTGAGATTCCCTCTGGAGGTTTTCATATATTTCATATATACGATCGTAAAGGAGCCACGTGCAGAACTCTACATGTAGATCTAGAATACCAGAAAGCATACCAACTTACCGTGTCCGCACTTGTCGATATGGTTCGTGGCTTCAAATTCTTCCTTGCAGGCGCACTTGTTCTTTTTTGGTTCACAATAGGAGCCAGCAAAGCCGCATTCTTTGTCCACCTGACAGTCATCACCAAACTTTTTCGTGCCCCTATCAGATAGATCTGAAAAGATATGATAATTAAAGATAATAAGATATTTTAGATATTTTAGACATATTTATATTGCATGTTAAGCACTTCTAATAAGCTAGGGATCATATCTCGTATCACATTTCTGTTAAAAAGATATCAATCTCATATTATCCTAGAAATAATTATAACTTGAACTCGCTTTAGACGATCTATAATAATTTGCGTCAGAATTTAGGATAATATTCTATTTATATTTTTATATGTCATGCAATATAAACATTTAAAGAATTGAAGGATATATGAAATTTATTTTCAAGGATATATGAAATTTATAAAAATACACAGCATATAAAATTATGAACAGAGTTCTAGCCTAACACAAGATTTAGATATATAAATTCTAATTTGAAGAAAATATCTTAAGATCGGATTATGAATACACAATTGAATAATAAAAATTTCAATAATCAATTTCTAAGCTGAATCTTAGTGCTTAAATAATATTTTCGATGTAAATTTATGTATTTATGCATATCCAGTTCTGTAAATTGCGCGCCAAAATTACTTTTAGTCTTGAAAAGCAATTATAAGCAAAACTGGATTGTCTCTAATTTGACTTTATAGGTATAAGTCGATATATAAAAAAGAAAAAGTAAAATAGAAAAATTTTCAATTTTTATTTTGCTCCTTTGTGTTCAGATTATGTTTACATAAATTTCAGATTTATCAAAAACTTTAACTCAAAGAGTCGAAATGCGTCAGAATATTTTACGTAAACTCGGTCATAGTAACCATGCAGATATTTTCCCAATATACACATATATATGTTCAAGTATGCGTGAAAAGATATATGTATGCACTTCTAAAAAATGCAATAAAACTGGCAATATTACAAAAATTCCGTGCAAGTTTCAAAAACTTCTTCTCAATTTATACATTGTCTCAATTTTCAGTAAAAATATTAATGATGCTTTGCAGAAAGCTGACTAGCTCTTTCCAAGAAGTCTGATTGCTGTATTGTCGATGAATAATGGCCCCTATCTAAGTTCCATCTTACGACATTTCAATAGAAGACCGAAGGAGGTCTTCTTTCGACTTGCATAATACCTGCCGATTCGGAAAAATATCTGTAGATTTTATAATCCTCGAGATCGTTAAAAGAAATAAAATGATTCTAGCTCGCCAGAAGACAAACCCTTTTATCTTTGTCATAAATTTTTCAAGTGATGTTAATCTTACGGCGTGCGTCTCTTGCTTTTACGTAAAAATGCAAATATAATACTAAATATAATACTAAATATAATACTAAATATTACAGTAAAATGGAGCATAAACAGGATTGGTCGTGAATTGGTTCTGAATTGGATATCATCTCGGGTTAATTATAAAACTAATTATAAAATGAATATTTCGTTATTTCATTGCTTTAATTGCTCCATCATATTATATAAACTGTTCCATTTGCCAGAAGGCAATTATACGGTTTTCAGCGATATACATAAAAATTTTTTAATCTTTCTTTCGCTTCTCTTTTACTCCAGATTGTTTTTAAATATTAATAGCAGTATTAATAAAGATTTCGAGAAATAATGTTGCACATGTTGCATATTTATATCCACTTCATTAATTCGAATCGCATAGAAATTGCATAGAGCTGCAAGCAAGAACTATATGCATGGGTTGCATACACTATCTGGAAAGTTTACACGTAGGTTGCTAGTTGGCCAACCGCGGAAATTTGATTAGTACACAACACCGATTTCAATTATACAAACGTTTAAATTGATTTTCTTTCGTATTCCTTTTATATGTATGCGATGCATAGACTCTGTATGAGACAGGAAAGATCACTTTTATATATTATATATATATATATATTAGGTGTTGGAATTAATTCGTAGCGTTTTACAAGTGATGGGAAGTACTTTCATTAATGTATTTTTTAATGCTCATGTGAAATAAATAACATTCTTTCATTAAAAAACGCTACGAATTAATTCCAACACCTAATATATTTAGGAAACTTTTACATATAATAATTTATAAACTGAGTGCAAACATGAGTCTTTATATTTTTCTCTTTCGTATTCATTCTCAGCATGTATTTCGCCGACGATGATAGAAGCTACAAAAAATTTAGACGATTGGTCAAAAGAAATATTAAATTTTGTGGGAACGAAAATTATTGAGAAAAAACAAAATATAGGTTCTCTGTTTGTGAGAGACACGAATCTTGTCAATCACGCTGTGGTGACCTGTGTGAACGTGATATATGGGACTTGCAGTTTAACGCTAGTGATTAAAGATCTCATAATCACCAGGGTATCAATCATGTAATTTTTTCCCTAAAGCCAAAAAGGTGAAAAGTGAAAATTTTTTGTATGTATATATGTGTATATGTTCATACATACATACATAAAAAAATGTCACTTTTCACGTTTCCGCTCTAGAGAAAAAGTTATATGATCGATACTCAGATGGAATCATTTTCGACACCTTACGCGAAAAATTGCTTATATATAGATGTAGATGGGATCGAATCCGAATCTACAGATCGTACTGAGCGATAAGCCACTCGACGCTCCCCGAACTACTCTTTTGCAATCGAATAAACGGTTAAATATATTTCTCCAAGGTAATTTTATCAAATGTAATTTAATTATGTACAGATATTGTACCGATTATTGCGAAGAATATTACTAAAGCCTCGATCTAATGGCTTAGGACATTTGTAATACAAGAGATCCAGGTTTAAATCTCGGCCGAGATAATATTTTTCACAATAAATTTATTAACAGTTTCAACATATTAATATCTTTATAATATGATGCTTGATGGTAGCATCAAATTATTAAATTGCTTGTCAATTTAATTCGCGATTACTAGAGTAGTTTTAATTGCGTTCATAGTCCGGAAAAACAATTCAATGCACAATTCTAAAAAGACTACAATATGGTATATATATGCAAGTACATACAAGTGTATATTAGTAATTCAAGATTGAATTATTTAAAAGCAATGAAGATCTAGCTTTGACTGTAATAGGCATTTTTCTAGTATTAATTGTGTTAATTACAGAAGTGTTGCAACTTAAATGATTTAATATTCATGTAGTATCGAATTAAATAAAGATTGCAAATTAATTTTTTCTATAATTAAAATCGTGAAGCGTGAAACTATTGTAAATTCGAAGAATAAAAATTTTAAAGATGACGTTTAAATTGTGGTAATCTCTGCATATCCCTTTTTTCCGTCCTAATTGCACTGTGCTAAAAATTATCAGAAAATGCCAGGTCTCTTTTAGGGTTAAACAATTCATTCGCGGCGACCTGGAAAGACTGAAATCAAGGATGGCGACTATTCGACGGCTCGAAGTTAAAATGGCGCCAGGCAGGTCAATCTACGCGTTAAAAGTGGGTCAGTCCGTTTCTATGGCACGCCGCCAATGCTCTCACGTGCAAAACCTCACACAGTCCGTCACCACCAGTTACCCCCTTTTTTTTTCTTTCAAATTACTTTCTAGCCTGTATACGTACGCCCACTCGAAAGCGTATACATGTACTCATTGCTTGTGCGTGTCTTTTAATCGGTCCAGTATCGAAAATCGAATCAAAAAACGCGCACTTGATTGAATGCACTGGAAATATTAACAGCAGAGATGTTATTTTTCCCTCCGAGTATCGGTATCTTAAAATAAGAATTATTATTACAGTAGTAGGTGTAATTTAATATCACGTCAAAAATTTTGTTATGTCATTTATGACTTGCTTATTTCGAACATAATGCGCAAACTTTTTCAACCATTAGGTATTCATAAAGTTCCTCGTAGTCGTTAATTAATTTTCTAAATTGAATGGATACTGACTGAATTTCTCTATTCTAATGCACGCTTTATTCTGCTTTTGCAATCTCGATACTGTAGTACAGATATTTTTCTCCTTACCACGAAAAGTTGAACAATTAATCATTTAGGAATTAATTAATCTTGTTTAATATATACTATTTTGACGTCAGTATTAATAGCGGTTTCCACTGGGAAAACTATTACAATGCTAGTGCAATTCAATGTAAATCGGTTTACATATTTGCAGTGTTAATAAATAATTTAATCCTTTTAAAGTGGTAAATTATTGTGATAACAAAGAATATATAAAAGAATAGATATCTTAAAGAAGCTATTAACTGAAAAAAAAAAAATATATATATATATATATATTAGTGTTGTATGAATTTTTCACTGAAAAACACTATAAGATAGAGAATGTACATTTTATTTTTTCTCCAAAACAATAATTGTTGATATAAAATTATTGTTACAAATAACTAATTTTCAAATAACTACCTTATTTAATGCTCAATATTTAAATATTTTGTTCAAAATTATTATGTCAAGCTAAAGTAAGTAAATACTATGTTAGTAAGTGAATACTGTTGTTTTGAGAACACGAACAGATAGAGCAATTATTATAAATTAAGAGTTTTCTTCTTTCTAAAACATTATTTACGCAGAACGCAGGTCGCAAGTTTGTTGTGCGTCAGTCAATTCGATGCATCAATTTTCAAAGTGACGTTTCGAGATTGGCTGCAACAAGCTTACGACCTGCGACTTGTATTCTGCGTCTTATGTATATAGATCGGACTTAATAAAAATTAATTGTCTTCAGATAAGCGGCTGTGAAATGTAACGAAAGCACAAATCTGTAGTTTTAAATTACACGTAAATTTTTTTAGAAATAAAAATAACAACTTACTATTATGCAAAATGCATTCTTCTATTTTATTGCAATCTAAAAATTTCTGCTAAAAATAGAAAATTCGTGTTAAAATATTAATATTTTTAATGATTGTTCATAGCGATAATAGTCTCTTTTGATGGCGACGCTTAGTCACGACGAGACTATGATCTTACCTGCTATTAGTAATGCCATTACGCTCTCTTTACACTCTCGTTACACTTTACACTTTCATTATTATTCGTAACTTGAGAAGATTAATCGTTATAAGATGCTCGAGGTGTTCCCATGGACACT